CCGTAGTGCCCATTGGGCACTACGGTTAACTATTCTTGCATTTAGGATGAGTAACTCAGGGTGAATTACCGAGGATCTCGATCCGAGATATATTCAACCAGCATATGGTCACCAAATTGTTGACTCGACAACTCTGATGTCAAATTGACATTGTCAACTAGCACATTCCACTGGCATGAACTCTCCTATCGTGAGACAAAGGTCGCGAGATTCATGCTGTGGGAGCATCCTACTGTTACTATTTTGGCTGAATCCGGGAAACTCTGGCCGCCATGCTCAAGCCCAACCAGGCCTGGCAAGAAGTTTGATATTGGACGCCACAGCCCAGGATCGCTTCAAACAGTTCTGCCCCGGAATTTCTGAGTACTTACTACAGTGAGGTTCTATAATCTACTTCTCAATTACTCATCGTCATACTTCCTTATCGTCATTGTTCTGTTGACTCATTCTGATGACGATCTATTAATCCCGAGGCCACGCTAATAAATGATAACCTCATGGCCAACAAATTGTGGGCCACAATCTCCTGTCTATCGTTCTCATAAGAAATTATGCATGATTTGTTCCGTAGTTCGACCAAGTTTCTCGCCCGGATAGCATCATGTCAATAAACCAGCCCTATTCACAGATAGACAATGCTACGCTAGAAGGTGCACTGTTCGTGTAAGTGCACAACAAATCACGGGTGATGGATTATGAAGATCCGATTGAGTTGAGGGTTCGTTACTCCTAAATCGGTGCTCCTAATCCGATTCACTTCGGAGTTCTTTCGTTACCAACGGAAGAAATCCAAAGTGAATCGGTCATCGCCCGAGGTCGCTTTTCTAAAGACGTTACATCCTGTTTAGTATAATATCATTAAATGCTCTCACGATCCTCCGGGAGGATTCCTCCCTATGACCGCCTATGACCGCCTATGGCCCCTGTTCCCGACACGTCTAGTTCTATGTGGCTCGGAACCAGATGATCCATACCCGATTTAGTATGCATAGTAGAAATGTTTCCAATCATTTTGAGTCTTTCTTATATTATTGTGGAGCATTTTCCGTCTTTCATCTACTTAATTGATAATAACTCGACTCCAAAAATGCTGCATTTTGAATGCGTGGCCGAATTCGACATTTGGAAGTTGGAAAGGGGACAGGTAATAACAAGTGGCACTGCGGTGCAAATGTACGTTTCTGTTTGGCTCGCGTTTTCCAAACGTGGAACGGTATTAACATATCCGGAATCGTCACGGCTATGGTGACGAAAGTAAATGGTGTTGAAATACATATTTGATTTCCTCAGTTGAGTTTCCAAAGCTATTCGACTTCGGGTCAAAGTGTGGAGGAAAATTCTCAATATTTTCTGCATTGTCATTACACACGTGAATGTTCGTGTGTGTATATTTCCCTACGAAAAAATTGAGGTAGTCAAAACTGTTGATAAGCTATATGTCGCATCAAAGCGAGTTTACAAGAAGCAAAGAAGGATTTTCGGCTTTCTAAAAATAGGAGATTCATAAAATTGTACAACGTGAAAACATGTTCGTATGCTGGACGCAAGAAAATCTTTTTTCCTCTGTGAAGATTTGTGATTTTTTATCTATGTAGGGTGACCAGAATTGGAGAGATTCTGTCAATATTTATAATTGAGTTAGTTCATGACGGGATGATGATGTTTCACCTTTCGCCTTCGGCGGTATTATCGTACATCCCCCCACCCTAGGCGGGCTAATCGTCGGGGCTTGGTCGTGTCACAACTCCTCATCGGGAACAGTGAGGTATTGTACTTATTTTAAGTTATATAATGTTTTGGGAAATCAAACGGTACATCTTTCACATTGTGGATTGTATATTATGTACTTTTATGGACTTTTATGGTTGAAATGATGATGACCTTGAATACTCAGGTCGTATACACATAAGCTAACTTTATGCAACTTTCACGACTGCAATTGAATTGCAAAGTTGTATGTTCTTTTGTGATTGTCTAGTTCGTGATTGTTCTGCGACTTATCATGTTCACGATTGTGCATAGACATAATAGGTATCATAATTATATTTTATTAGTCTCTGTACTCAGTGTAGAGTGTACTGAGAGTTTTCACTCTGCATTTGAGTATAGCCATTGTAGTGTTCATCTACTGTCTAAGTTTTATGCAATTCGCGAGAATCCATCAATGACAATTCAGTAGATATATGCTATCATAGTTTCCGCTCTGAATCCTATCACCA